CTATGCTGGAAAAGTTAAAGTTCCCTTGGAAAATACAGTTAAAGAGAGAGTGCTATTTCCACTAAGATTTCTGAGGCTTCTTTAGAGACAAATTGACGTTTTCCCAGGACTGCGATTATAAATAGTACATATAACTAAAAGATCAACCAGTCAGAGCTTCCCTGGTGGCTCAGTGGTAAAGAATCCATCTGCCAATGCAGGAAACAAGGGTTCGATCCCTGATCGCGGAAGATCATAAAGCAACTAAGCCCATGTGCCACACGATTGAGCCTATGCTCCAGAGCTCAGGAGCCACAACTACTGAAGCACACTCACCCAAGAGTCTGTGCTCCACAACAAGAGAAGCCCCTGCAAGGAGAAGCCTGTGCACCGCAACTAGAGAGTAGCCCCAAGAAGCAACGAAGACCCAGCACAGCCAAATAAATAATTGAATTATATAAATATATACACACACATATGTGTAAAGATCAGTCAACAGCTATTCACAAACTATCTGCCATAAGCAAGGAATTTACCAAAATTGACACTAGCTTACGAGTAAAATAAATCCACACAGCATGAAGTTATTCAACGTAATTTTGATTCTTGTGATTTTTCTGGTTTCTAGGGCCAAGAAAACAAATTCCCAGATAATTTCTGGGATCTCTTTTCTTCTCTTGTATATTGATTCCTTCCAGTCTTGAAGGTTTTACACTCAACAGCAAATGAATTTTTAAAACTATGACCCATCACTTTGGCAACTTGCACATGGGCATTTGTCTTCCTCAGGCACACAGATTATTTCAAGTTACAAACATGGTGTGCTTGCTAGTTTACATTCTCTTTTTCTTTTTATAAGTCTTTTCTTATTTCTCTCTGTATGTGTCTGGATGTAAGCTTTCATTGAAAGACAAAATATTCCATTATACAGATACACCACAAAATTTTTAAACTGTTCCTCTAATGTGGGGACATTTCAGTTATTTCTATTTCTTTCCATTATAACTAACACAGTCAAGGATATCTTTAATGTATTTAGAATTTTTAAAATCTTTATTAAGTAACTTCATTGGGAAAAATTCCTGGGTATAGTACTTTTATAACTTTTCCTAATATTACATTGCATTCCTCCCAAATTTTACCAATTTACATGCAACCCACAGCAAAAAGTGCAATTTTACAGCACCCTTAGTAGCATTAGGTGCTATTTTTTTTTACTGTTACCCTCATTAGCAAGAAATAAAACAGTCAGTGTTGCTATGATCTTCAATTTTGATTACTGTCAATGAGGAACATCATCTGTGTATTTTTTTCTTATTCTTTTACTCATCTGAGTAAATTTCTTGTTATTTTTTTTTTAAATCATTATTTATTTGGCTCACCAGGTCTTAGTTGCAGCATGCTGAATCTTTAGTTGCAATGTGAGAACTCTTAGCTGTGGCATATGGGATCTAGCTTCCTGACCAGGGATTGAACCCAGATCCCCTGCGCTGGTAGCATGGACTCTTAGCCACCAGACCACCAGGGAAATCCCTTGTTATTTCTTTCTAAAATGCTGGCCATGACCCACCAAACTGATTTCATGACCCACTAATGAGTCATAATCCACAGTCTGAAAAAATGTAAAGCAGTTTCATTTCACACTGCAGTCTGTTATTCGCTCCAATGAACTGATACACATGGATTAAGCCAAGTCAACTGGACATCTGCCCCCAGCAGCCTGTGAAATAAATTGCCCATTTTCAGAGACTAGATATTGGTGGTCGTGGATGAGCAGGTGGCAGTGAGAACTAGGACATGGAGTTGCTGTTTCAGCTTGCCATCCAGGGGGCTGGCTGCCTTCACAGGACCTGCCTGTGAGATACAGCAGCTCTGTGGTGTCACGTTGGGAAAGGGCATTTGGGCCTGAGGTCGCAGAAGGCCCTGGGGGCCATCCTTCATGTGGACTAGCCCAGAGCATCTCCAGTTCAACCAAAAGGCTAGAGCAACTGCCCACAGCCTGGCAGTGCCAAGTGATTGCGGAGGAACCGGAAGGAGGCCCAGGCTGGGTAAGCGAAGGCATTGTCTCAGGAGGTCAGGTCACTCCAGGAAGAGACACGAGAGTGCTTTGTGAACCAGGCAGGCACTGGGAAGGGGTCCCTCCAGGTGAGCACCTGGGGACACTGGAGGGTGAGTCCAGGCAGGAGTGTGGGGGAGCTGCGGTCATCCTGGCGATGCCTGTCTCCCAGCCATTCCCACAGCTGCCCTAGCACATGAGTTCTGTGATCCACATCAGGTGGTTGTATGACCTTTAGACAGGTCTTAATTCTCTTGCCTATGGATGAGGGGAATGACCAAGCCTTGCCAGGGGTCTCAGAAGAGACAGTACTTTTATGCCAAGCCATCAAAGAGACCATAACCAATCTCTATCAGCCAAAATTAAAACAACCACCTTGAGAAGCTGTGACTGGTGGAGTTCTGGCTCCAGGTCAGTAAATTATGCTTTCCAGAGTGTCTACATTTTTAATGTCTCATGCTCAGAATCTTCTGGCCTTACCTAATTTCCTTGAGCACCTTAGGCATTGCAAACTCAAACTTGCCTTCCACCGGCTTCACAGCACTTATGAATATTCATGAGGTGACCTTAGACAGAAAGCACTGGAAAAACCTGTCCCCACAGGACTATTCCTGTGGGCAGTAGTACCTGCAGAGAAGAAGTGACATGTCCCTTAGATATTCAGGGAAACCCCTCAAATTAAGGAGTTCAAGCTATGCTGAAGGGTTTTAGGCCTGAGAAAGACAAGAATTTCTAATTCTTAGGTGTTCTTAAGAACACCTTCTCCCTTCTTCAGAGTGGCTACCACATTCCTAATTGTGGTGTCCGTCCTTCTTTCTAAGTGTCCATCCTCCTCGCAGCAGGGGGGAGATCTGCACATGACCCTGACAGCTACTAAGAGGAAGCCCATCACCTATAGGAGGACACGGCTGTCACCCTGCAGACTTGCAAAAGCATGCTTCTCTTCCCCTGCCTTCCCTGGAATACAAATCAGAGCATTTCATTTAGTAAGGAGACCTGATCTCAGAGAGATGCTTCCTCCTTCCTCTGAAACAGCACCTTCACCCCGAGCCTCTCTGAGGGGCTTGAGCATGTGGACACTCACAGCAGTCACACACCTGCCCTCCGACACCTGCTCACTGGAGAGAGAAAGCCACCTGGGCGAACACCACCCCGATTAAGCAGAAGGGTGGGTTGCAAACTTAGCTCGTTAGAATCACCTTGGAGCTTAAAAAAATTGGCTGTATCTCAGACCAATTAAGCCAGAATCTCTGGAGATGGGACCCAGGCATCAATATTTTATTTATTTTACTGGGAATTCCCTGTCAGTCCAGTGGTTTAGATGCTGTGCTCCCAATGAAGGGGGCATGGATTCGATCCCTGGTTGGGAAACTAACCCCATGTCTCTCAGAGGCACCACTCAGCAATAAATCCTGGCTTCTCTGATGGCTCAGTGGTAGAGAACCCGCCTGTCAATGCTGGAGACAGCATTTGGATCCCTGACCCACGAAGATCCCACATACAAAAGATTAACTAAGGCCGTGTGCCACAGTTATTGAGCCTGTGCCTAGTTCGGAGGAACTGCAACTACTGAAGCCCATACGCCCTAGGGCCTGAGCTCTGCAACAAGAGAAGCCACTGCAATGAGAAGCCTGCGCCCCACAGCTAGAGAGTACCCGGCTCTTCCCAAATAGAAAAAAGCCCATGCAGCAACGAAGACCCAGCACAGCCAAAAATAAATATATAAAATTGAAAATATATATATTAAAAAAAATTGAGGTATAATTGACCTACAACACTATCTTAGCTCCCGGTGCACCACACAGTGATTCGGTATTTCTCTATATTACAAAATGACCACAGCCAGGCATCAGTACCTTTTAAAGCTCCCCAGGTGTTGCAACATGCAGGCCGGGTTGAGAACCGCTCCCAACGGTGCAGCCTTCTGTTGATCTCTCATTTAGCAAGACTTCACCCTTCTCTCGAAAGGAATCTTTATAACAGCGTAACCTCTAAATCACTGATCACAGTAACAGACCAATAAGAAGGTCTTTGGGGGTGGGGGGAAGGGAAGATGGGGACGGATGGGCAGACAAGGAGAGAACTTTACATCCAGAGCGTATTTTACCATGGAATCACAATCCTTGGATTCTAAACAAAGCCAGTCTCCAGGAAGGCATTCGGCCCCTGCCTCGCTTCCGGAGCAGCTGAACTTCACACCCTTTGTCAGAGCTCTCCAAGAGAAACACCTGCGCGGCAGCCACCGCGGCCCCGGGTACGGTCACGGGCGCCGGGTCCAGGCCGGGGCTCCGGGCTTGAGCGCGTGGCCTCCGCTAGCCGGAAGGAGACTCCGGGGTCGGGGGAGGGGGCACGGACTCGCTGCGGAGGTGATTGACGCGCTGTCCCCCGCGCCTGCGAGGGCATCCGGCAGCCGCTGTTTGCGCGGAAGCGGTTGGGAGCCCGAGCCCGGCGGTCCCTCATGTAGGTTGCGGGGGGTGGGGGTGGGGGTGGGGGGCGTTTGCGGGGATCTGCGCGGTGGGGCGCTGTTGGTAATGGAGGCCCCGAGGCAGCGCAGCTGCGCTAAGGGCGCGTTTAGGAGACGAAATAATAATACCAAGATGTCAGAAACGAAAAGCCTTCCCGGCCACAAGCGATTTAAAGGTGTGACTTTTAAAGACAGCAGCAGTCCAGACAGTGCCTGACCGTGTGGTGCGGAGACCCGCCCCGGAGAGGACGGGGCTGCACTCACCCGCGGGCCCTCGGGCGGGCGGTCCTCGGAGCGCGCAGGTGCTCCGGCCGCTCCGGTGCTGAGCGGGCTCCGGCGGCCGGAGGAGCGCGACCCTCGCGGCGCGAGGAGGAGGCCCGGTCCTGCCGCAGCCTCCTCTGCGCCGGCTCCACGGTCGCTATGGAAACCAGGCGCGGCCCGAAAGGTGACACAGCTAGGCGCCCCGGGCCCTCCCGGCCTCTGCGGGGCCAGGCCAGGTCTATGGTGGTGGGGCTTCCCGGGCCGCACCCTCAGAACGTCCCCTCCACCCCCAACCAGACCCTCCCTTCTCGGTCCTCCCGGCCTCCTCCCTCGCCCCCTCCCCAGCCCCACCTCGGTCCGCTCGGTTCCGTGGAAATGCTGGCTCTTCTCTGGCTCTTCCACGCGGAAACCCCGGGCGCTGGGCTGCTCAGCGACCTGCGCCTCTGCTGGGGTCCGGATCCCGCCTCACTCTGCACGAGCCCTGGACTGCAGCGGTACCGCGAACTGGAAAGCCATCTGCCAAGCCCTAAGGAAGGCAGATGGAAGGCTGGAGAGCTCGGAATAAATTCCTCAGCATTTGCCTATTATAATCGGAGCAGAAAGAAGCCCTAGCGATGATCGCGTCTTCAAGGATCGTTGGCTTCAGTAAGACATCCATCAAGCTGAGCGGCGGAGAGCAGAGCGACTCCAGCAGCGCCCTCAGCACGGGGCTGATGCCTCCAAGAGACGCCGCTCCTGCATGTCTCTGCTGCTGCCTGGTAATCCCTCCGTCTCTACCTCCTTTTCCTTTTTTTTTTTTAATACCACCTTCTATCAGATTATGTTAACACCTCAGGCCTTTTAAGGTCTGCATAGTATTCTGGAGCACAAGTGTCCTATTTAATATTTATTTTATCTTTTGGCTTCACTGGGTCTTAGCAACTGCCAACCCTGGCTCAGTCGCCCCTCAGGCTGTGGGATCTTTGTTCCCCGACTAGGGATGGAACCTACGTGGCCTGCATTGGAGGGCGGGTTCTCAACCACTGGACCATCGGTGCAATCCCCCTCCTGCTGCCTTGACTCTTTGGTTGTCCACAGCCCTTAATGTAACTTGCCAGAGCTCCAGGATCCCTGTGTGGCTCAGAGGTGGTCCTACTTATCACCCAGAGTCTCGGCACTCTGCCTCCTCAGTCTGCAGGTGTTTCGCTCCAGTTCCAAAATAAGGGAAGGAAACACACTTTTATGGAGCTCTGACCATGTGCCTAGGCTATTCGTGGGTTATTTCATTTAATCCTTGGGTCAACCTATGATTTTACATCACTGTTTTATGAGCTAGGAACAAAAGAACACAAAGAAGTTACTTCCTTGTGTAACCTACCCAGGTAGATGAAGGTAAAGCTGGAATTCCCACCCAGTTCTCTCTGACACAGAGAACTGACACAAAGTTGAAGGCCGGGGACCATCTGGGGTTGGCCCAAGTGGGTATTAGGGGGAACCTCTAGAATATCTAGAATTCCACCTTTCATTCACTTATTTATTTCCAGTAGAGGTCCCTGGCTAGGGGACAGCTGCTCCAACAGCTCTGCTGCCCCAGGAGCCACAGGAGCAGAGAGAGAGGGACCCATCTGCGGTTCTCCATGCTGCCCACGGCAACTGGGCCGTCCACGTGGTACAGCGTGGACACTGGAATCCATCCACCGGAAGATGGAGAGGGCCTGAGCTCTGCTCCCAGGGATGAGGGGCCCAGCAGCTGTGCCAGTTTAGCTTGGAGACTTCTGCTGTCAAATCTCTGATGGACTGTCCCAGGAAGGAGAGGTATGTGGCCCTCCACAGGGCAGTAGCAGGGCCACTAGGGACACAGGTCCGTGGCGCCAGCTCTCTGCTCAGTCTGAGGATTTCCCATCACTGCTGGCTCACAACAGGGTGATCTGCAAGTGAACTCAGGAAAATGCAGGGACCATGCAGCCATGGGCTTGCAGGAGGATACCCTTCATTCTCCAAGGCCATCCTCCACATGTATGACCTCAATTGACGTGGGTGGCAACAGACACCTGCTTTGGGGAACGTTGACTCTGACTCCCAGGTCCCTTTCAAATCAAAGATTCTGTGACCTGTCGGTGTCTGTTTTTCTTGTACTGCTGTTTCACTCCAGTAGATAATGTTTTTAGTGCTTTTGACTCTCGGACTCCCAAAACAATTCAGAATGGTTCATGCCATTAGAATGCATATTTTTTAAAAACAAAAATTTTAATGAAAAAATTGAATCCAGGAGGATCCCTGGGAAAAAGTGAGTTGCTACAGAATTTGGGCACTAAATTAAAAGCGAAGTTTGTTCCAGTGGAAGTCACTCAGTCATGTCTGACTCTTTGCCACCCCTGGACTATACAGTCCTTGAAACTCTCCAGGCCAGAATACTGGTGTAGGTAGCCTTTCCCTTCTCTATGGGATCTTCCCAACCCAGGGTTCAAACCCAAGTCTCCTGCATCGCAGGCAGATTCTTTACCAGCTGAGCTACCAGGAAAGCCCAAGTTTGCTCCAAGTCTGGGCAAATAGAAGCAAGTGTGATGTTATTGATTCTCACTGTTCAGGAAGGGGATGCCCACACTCCACTGGCCTCAACTTCCCACTGGGACTGAGAAGCCCAGAATGACAGGAGCAAGTTCTTCCCTTCATTTTATTTAATTTTTATTAAACTTTTAAACATTTATTTATTTAGCTGCACTGGGTCTTCGATGTAGCATGCAGGGTCTCTTACTTGTGACGTGGGATCTAGTCCCCTGACCCAGGATTGAACCCTGGGCCCCTGCATTGGGAGCTTGTAGTCTTAGCCACCCCTGGTCCCCTCCCCTGCCTTTATGCCCTCCCCTTCAATAACATACATGGGAACATTTTATACAGTGTTGGTGCTTAGTGTATTCTGATTGACTTGACTTACTTTTTTCTGCCATGCCATGAGGCTTGTGGGATTTCAGTTCCCCAGCCAGGGATTGAACCTGGTAGAAGCAGTGTCCTGGTCAGGCTCTCAGCCGTCACTCTGAACTCACATGATACTGCTCCAGGAGAGGGTGGAAGGGGGGCTGGGCCTGGCCTATAGTGGGCCCCAGGCTGCCGTGATGGCGCCCACTGGTCCCTGCTCATGTTTTCTGAGCAGGTTTCCATCCTCAGTATGTCTGTGCTGCCGAGCACAGCTGCTCCACACACAGGCCTGCTTGCTTCTGGAGCTCTAGTCATGTCCAGTGGGAACAAGAACCAACACCGCTATTTCTCCTGCTTAGAACACAAGCCCCCTGTTAGGTGCTCATCCTGCCGCTGCTCTGTTAAGCAGTTGCTTACTTCTCAGCTCTTTTTCCAGGTGAGGAAATGGAAGCAGACAGGGTCAGGGACCTGCTCAAGGTCACAAGCCCCACAGTGACCTTAGCATTCTGGCTCTAGGTTTATGCTCCCAACCACCATACCCCCAGCCCCTCGGCAGGTGTCTGTATGTCCTTAATCAAGTCACCCAGGGACCAAGGTGCAAAGTGAGGTTTTCTTGGTGAAAAGACTCCTGGTGCTGTGTTCTCTGCCCTCCTCTTTCCAGGCTCCTCTCTTCCCTGGAGACAGGCACTTAGATGGCCCTGTGTTTCCTTCCCCACCCAGCTTCCTGGGAGGGCTGCTCTCCAGCCTGCCCCCAGCTCTGCTTGGCTCAGGGCTTTGGAATGAAAGACGCAAGACTGAGCTCCTAGGAGTGACTCACCTCTGCTTGGAGGGATTACAGCCGGCTTTCGTGCCACTTAGCCATTTCTTCTCCATTTTCCTAAAAATGCCACGAGGTCAAAAAAAAAAAAAAGCCCCATGGTCTGTATTTTATTTTAAAATCAGCAGGTGGGGACTTCCCTGGTGGTCCAGTGGTTGAGAATCTGCCTTCCAATGCAGGGGTTGTGGGTTTGATTCCTGGCCGGGAAACTGAGATCCTACATGCCACGGGGTAGCTAAGCCCATGCACCACAACTAGAGAATCCCCCACACGCAGCAACGAAGACCCAGCAGAGCTAAAGGAAAAAAAAAAAGAATAAATAGACTTTTTCATAGACTTTGCTTTGGTGCCTATCAGCATGACCCGCCCCTTCACCTCCATCTCTCCCACTGTCCCAGGATCATTACAACCACCTGGGCAAGTACTGCAACCCCTGAAGGCCTGGGTCGCTCTCCACCTGTGACCTGTAGGTAGACGCTTAATAGGAACCTCATGATCCCACTGTCTCAGGCCATCTCAGGTCCAGTGGAACCGGGCCAGGATCAAGCCCTGGGTGTGGCTTCTAGGCCTGGGTCGGCAGGAGCAGGTCTGTGCCGGGCATCTCCTGCTTCTGCTCCTGGTAGACTCAGCTAAGCCCAAGGGCAGGAAGACACAGAGGGCGTGCCCACAGGAGGCGCGCCCTCTTGTGCAGTTTCCCACACAGCCAAGAGTCAGCCCTTTCTTCTGCTCAGACCAGCCGAGTCACTGGCACCAACCACACTGTCTGGAGTCGTATGAATCTCATGCCCGTGAACGTTCTCTGTAGGAGGCTCCCAGGCTTGAAGCAACAAACAAGCAAGTCAATACTCTTCCCACCTGGACACAATGGGCCTGCGGGCCTGGGAGCAGCCAGGCTTCCCTGAAGACTCTGTCAAAACCACTGAGACAAAGGCCAGATGGAGGCCGGACTTCAGGGGTCACACAGAGAACATCTGCTCTGTTACAGGGTGGCAGGAAGTGCAAGGACCCTTGGCCTCCTCTGTCCATGGGATTCTCCAGGCAAGAGTACTGGAGTGGGTAGCCATTCCTTTTCTCCAGGGGATCTTCCTGACCCAGGGATTGAACCTGGGTCTCCTGCATTGCAGGAAGATTCTTTACCATCTAAACTTCTCTGTACCAGAGAAGCCCCATTGAACAGGTTACTTCACCCAGGTTACTTCAAAAATGTCTTTAGACCTAAAGTGAGAAGGTCTGGATTTGAGTTCCAGCCAGATTATCTATTAACTGCATGGCCCTGAGCAAATCAGTGAGCTTCTCCAAAGCACAAATTTCATTATCTGTCAAATAGGAACAGAAACATGTTTCCTTCACACAGAAGCACGTGAGGATCAAATAACAGCACACATGAAAACGTTTTGTAAACTGTAATGTGCTCTGGAACTGTCAAGGGTCGTATAAAATGCTGTTTATTACAGTTAACAATGGTAGTTTCAGTAGTTTGTTCCTCTACTCAAGTTTTGACCAGAACAGTGTGAACAGTAAAAAATGGTGAGCTCTGATTTTCTGTCACTTTCTAGTTCGCATTCTGCCCCAGGCAGGCAGGAGCAGCAGGGACTGAGGGGGGTTAGCATGGCGCAGACCTCAGGTAGGAAAGAAGCACGTACCTGTGTACTCATCGTGGTCAGGGGCTGGATCCTGACAGAATTTAGGGTGGGCTGGAGTGGGCCAGCCCCCTGCAGAGCTGACCATCACCCAGCAAGAAGCACAGTGGATGCTGACCCACTGACAAGCCTCCCTACCCACTGGGCTCCCTGCCCTGGGCTGCTCATAAAACCCTGGTCACCTCTACTCTGGACCTGACTGCAAGGGCCTTGGAAGCAGCTCACTGGTGGACTTGGGATCTCTTCGGTATCCACAGCCC